AGGTCCTTTCCGACCCTACTTCTATGATTCTATGATTAATACATGAAACATAAATTATATTAAAAGTACATTTGCATTTCACTCAAAAGTAGCACAACAACAAAAATTAGTGAAATTTCTTGTTGCCTTCCATATTTTATAGAAAGGGGGAAAAACAATATTTGCTTTAAATAAATTTCAGGCTGAGAACTCATTACTTGGAGATCATACTAACAAGTGTAGTAAAGTCAAATTATCTTACAGAGTCTTTTCTGGTTCTGAAAAAATATTTTCTTCCACTCAATGTAAAGACTGCTTCAGTTTTTACAGTTCTTTAGACATCAAAAGACCCCCACAAGCAACAGTTTTTAAGGGACCATCCAGTGGACTGTAAATTATCATAATTTACTTGGCAGGAGAAATAAAATGGAGTTTTAAAATCAGTTGATCAGGGAGTAAAGTAGAACAATTATCCAGGATTATCCAAGGCAATCATCTTCAACCAAGGTACCACAGCACTGTGATCCTTTCAAGGAGGTTAGGGAAGCTATGCAATATTGGTGCTGTTAAGCATACAAACACCTACATGTAATTCACAAGATAATCCCAGACATTTCAAGTAGGAATCCATAACGTCAAAAATATTTTGACCTGTTATGGTCTTGCAACAAAAGGATTGCTCTATTTGTTTTCTGTAATGAACAAAATGAGTGAAAGCTAAGAGGTGATATTTCCAAAGGATCCCTTGAGTCTATGGAGGGGTGCACTGAGCTTAAAAAAGGTTGAGAACCACTGATCCAAAGGTTCAAGCCCATTTCATAAGCTTGCCTTATCAAAGGCATTCTTTCCCCTGGTGACCAGAGTACTAGACAGCTAGGATCAAAGCTGACAACTGACAGGAAGAACCTTGCCCTAAGTGGAGAACTTTGGGGAAAGACCCACGTAATCCCCACCAGGTTTTAAGAGGAATGGGAAGAAGAGGGGAAAGGGAAGGCGGGGTGAAAAAAAAAAAAAAAAAAAAAATCAGCTAACATGACTTATGAGGAAAAGCTGAGGAAACTGGTCTTATTTATTTTGGAGAAGAGAAGACTGAGGGGGGATTTAATAACAGCCTTCAACTACCTGAAGGGTAGTTACAAAAAGGATGGAGCTAGACTAAGGGTGGACAATTATTTGGGCCCATGGGCCACATAGGCAGTTTGGGAGAACTGTTACGGGCCAGTGAGCATCAACACCCCCTCCCCCTCCACAGGTCCTGTGGTTCCTCTCTGCCACTGCTGCCTCCACCAGGGCCCAGTAGCAGCTGAGCACACAGCCCCGGCCCCTGCCTGCCCTGCACCTGTTCCAGATTCGCCCCAGCTGGAGCAGACCAGCTCTAGACCAGCTGGACCCATATGCACAGCCCTGTTCCTGATCCCAGCCCACCCTTGACAGTGTGGACCAGCTCCGGAACAGCCCAGGACCCACAAGCAAAGCCCTGGCCCTGGTCAGGCTCATGCTTGCTCCACACTGGCCCACCCCACCCACAATGAGCAGCAGTGGCTAGGCAGAAGCTGTTGCTGGGTGCAGGAAAAAAGAGGCCACCTCTCCATCACCCTCACTGCTGCCAGGCCCTTCTTGTTGCAGCCACCAGAAGCCCACGCCTGAGCTGCCCTGAGACCACTCTCTGCTGCCACACTGGGTGGCCCAGAAGCAGGGCTGTTGGCAGTGGTGACTGCTGCAAAGAGGAGCCACAGGGCAGCCCAGGTGTGGGCTCTGGATGGCTGCAGCAAGAAGGGCCTGGCAGCAGCAAGGAGCAGGGGTCGCTGCTTTTCCCCCGGCCCACCAACAGCTTCTGCCCAGCTGCTGCTGCTGCTCATCATGGGCAGGCCAGACCGGAGCAGGCAGTACTCAGGGAGAGGACTAATCAGGGACAGTACTATCTTACAGCAGAGTAACTAACTGTGATAAAATACGTGTAGACACTTACTGCAGATATAAATTGTGTAAAGTCAGCCCAGCCAGCAGGAGCCAGATTCCTGCCGGCTGCCTAACCACATGGCTACAGCACCCTTGTGCTGGGCTGCTGTGCCCCAGCCAACCCCTCTGCAGCCCAACACTGACACCCAGAGCCCAGGACTGATCCCTCAGGCTTCCCACAAACCAAGACCTGCTCTGCCCCAGCTCAAATTGCTGCTGTCCTGGGCACATGTGTAGACACTGCATCCAGGAGCAGTTTACTCTGGCTTAAACTGCTCCAGAGTTTATTGCTTCACATGAATTGCACATGTAGATGCACCCAGTAATATTAACTTTGCTTGCACTGAATTAGAAAATAAAGTCCTGTTTACAGAGGTGAACCACAGAATTGCAATGGTTTTATTTTGAATCTAGATGTAGACACATTTGCACAATATGGTTACTTTGGCAACATCAGACTTACTTATTTTTAGATAATTGATCCCTTTCTCAGAGTAGCAAGTAACTTTCTTTCACAATGTCATTATGATCTCTTCTTTATGCTAGGATGCCATCTGAGCTTGGGTTAGCTTGGAGAACAATGTTTAGTATGCATATTCATACAAGGAAATGTATTTTAATTCAGATCAAGAATGTCTCAAAGATCTTAGTTAAGAAGGGACAATTTACTATACAATTCCAAAGCAAAAAAATATAGGGATCATCTTATCACAGGGACCTTTAAATTCTGCATTAGAGAGTTACAGGGTGACCTTTTCAAAACTGGCAGATACTAGATACTATGTACATTTTTCTACATATTTATTACAGATACACACTGAAGAACCTACCAAGTTGATATTAATACAGCCATAACAGTGAGCAGACATAAATGTGAAGAGCAAATGATGCCATGCTGGTCTCAATAAATAGCATTGGACCCTATTGGTAACAACTTATCTTCACTTGCAGGAGGACTTAGCTTTACCTGCAGTAGGATGGCACATCCACAAGCACCTGTGACCTACTTGGCTATCCTATTTTTCTTTCTCATTGGTCTATGCTACACATGAAATAGGAAGTTACCTGGCCACTTAAAGGCAAGTAGCATTTTCTTCAAAATTATCTAGCTCTAAACCCCTCGGTATAACCCTTAATTTTGCACCTGCCTTGACACACAGAGCCAATGACAATCATTCTAGGCTCCTTGCTGTTGCCCAACAGCCAGCCTTTACAACACAAACACTAAGCCTCTCACAGAACACATGTCTACATACAGAGGAATACTGCAGCATAAGCCTGAGGGAAAATAATACTTTTACTTGACATTTTTACAGAACTATAGATTTTGTTCTCCCTATCCAAGTGTCACCTGCTAGCATGTCTGTCTTTAATGTTACTAATGAGTCTTTAATTTATACAATGAGAACTGAAAAATCATATTTATATTAAACTAAAATGTATTCAAGCCTGGAATTCTCAGCTATCACCTGAATCTAGTTATGTTATAAAATCTGGATTAGTCTTTCAGCACCATCAACAAAAAAATCTCTTTGTACTGGTTTGAAAAGCCTATTCCCCTGCAGCTAGCTCTCTTACCACCAGGAGGTGTCCCTTAGTTTCAATACTCCCCCCACTAATATCTAGTTATTAGGAAGGAAAGTGCAAGGGAAAAGAGTGCTTTCCCTTTTAGAAGGAAAAATAAAGGCACAATCCCTACTACATGGAAAAAGGTGTTTGTATTTCACAAGGTTACACAATAACCTATGCTAAAACAGCCAGGTATTAAGTCAAAACACTCAGACATTAGGAATTCATCAAAACTGTGATTGACCATACAAATTTAGGCCCCTGACAGATGTTACACTTAGCCACCCATTAACCAATTAGTGTCTTAGGCTAGGGACAGACTTTCAAAAAGCTGGAGCCTGAATTGATGCAATCTTTGCAGGTTAGTCTAACCTGACTAGGCTGAACTAGTTTGAAACTGGACAGACATTCTCTCTGGACTGAGGAAATTCAGGCACATGCCTGCAGTGGCTCAGGCCAGAAGCCACGGGGTACTAGAACAGCCCTCCCATCTCTTCTGCAGGGAACTGAGCTAAACGTGGTGTGTGGCCAGGCTCCAGCACGACTCTC